TGTGTCAATGGAATGAAAGAAAATTAAACCCATTTTAATAGAAAACCTATAGTCGGGACCACGAGAGTCTGCAATTGGCGGCAACCAATCACAAGACAAGGCTAGTGCCATCGCCCGATGACGACACTAATTAAAATACTAAACAATATTTTCAAATCAGCTGGTATTATTAGATTTGGCAACACCGCACTGTCCTCATTGGCTCCTTAGAAGTCACGTGGTAAATAGGCTCCTCCCTCAACTAACTCTCGTGGTCCCGACTGTAGTTGTTATTTGTCATCTGGCTATTAAATTAATGATTCTATCTAACAAATTGTTTACGTAGATAGTAAAAAGACCACCTTTAGGCCACTTCCTTACACAAAATCACAAAACACTCATGGACTGGATAAACACACAATAAATAATAATAAACTGTGCAAACAGCTGAAATGTCTGTGCATATACCAGAGATGAAAACTTATCGTGCACCGAAGTCCGAGAAACTAACCACTAAGATTAATTGCAACAATTACAATTAAAATAAATACTAATCGACACATTATGTGATACACCACTCAAATGAAGTCTTCATGAAATCGAATCTTAATGTAAAGTAAAAGTTGAGGCAAACTTTAAATAAATACCCGCAAAGTTGTTTACATTAGTGTGAGTTTTCCTCAGTATGACTGACAGTTGGTACACGTCCAACTTTCGTGACGGGACACGGACGAGAATAACGGACAAGAATAAACCTGTCGGTCTGAAAATGTCAGCTGGGCATTATGGGGGAGTATGATGAGGGCCTGAGAAAAATCCGCACGAGAGTGGAATATATCATCCAAAGATATCAGCAAGGACCTAATCTGTAGTGCAACCCTACTTTGTTGGTCATTGATGAAGTATTTAACCCTTTGCTGAACAGATTAAGATCATAATCTATTGAAAGATGAAGAGGATACATGCCATATAGCTACTTGAGCACACACCCCTTGAAACACAACAATCACTTCAAGAAAGCTCTTGAGTTGATAAGATTGGACGATTCCAACCCATATGAGTGAGAATGAGTGAAGAATGAGTGTTTAAAGAATGACAGCTTTTTTCAAAACAAGATTTGCTGTTTCTTCAGCTCAGCCTATTAAAAGTCCAAAGATCAAGAACAGTTTCGTACAGTATTGAACCTTCAAAATGTTTAACGTTTCTCAGGATAGAACCAGCAACCTTCAGCTAGTTCCTAAGAACAATCGAGCCTCTATTGGCAACTAACAATTTTAAGAAGTACACATCGGGTCTTTACAAATTAAATTTTAAGTAGGTAACTAACGAAATATAATATAACAGTGTCTTTCTTTACCTATAGATACAAAAATGTTTCTTTAATAATAAACTATTCAATATAATCTTTACAGATTAATTTTTGGAGCCGAAGACTTCTTTCCTCATGAAACAGTAACACAACAGTCTCATGGCGAATTGCTCTGCCTGCCTTTACTGACATAAACCGTGTAGCCTACAAGGGTCGGGTAGGTAGCAGCTGCATGTTGAATATTTATCTGACAGCGACAGCCAGTAAAATGGCGTTTCTGCATTGTTTGTTAGGCAAATACCAGCATGAACAGTGAAACCCACATTTAATTTGGTCAACAGCGATAAGTTCTGAATATTAATAAAGTTTATTTACAGATTTCCCCACAGGACATGGTTGGGTGTTTTATTAAAATGCCATTAGATTTTTTTAGTTCTCTAGTTTTTTGTGTTTAGGATGAAACTGCTACAGATTTAATGTTTTACAGTTAAACATTCTGAAAAATAACTAAAATTGGCGCTTTTGATAAAATTGAGATGCTATTCCAATATAGGAACTAAATAATACAGAAGTCAAGAGTAAATATAAATAGATCAATGAGGAACCAAATACAAAAGTCACAGTAAATTATATTGTTAGATTGTCCCAAGGCAGGATAGGAAACACCGGTGTACGACACAATAAACAAGGCTTGGCACCTACATACAAACACACTGCCAACTCTGCTTAAACAATCGCTCCTTTCATGCAGCTGTACTGCCGAAATTAGTAGGACAATAAATTATTTGGCTTAGTAGCTTTTTTTAGCAGATTGGATATATTATCTAACAGATTATAGCGGAAATTGTTCATCACGATTGGTAAAATCCAAGTTTTCACGACGTTTCGGGGTCTGGAATCTGACCCCGTTTTCAGGTAAGAACGTATAGAGAGTGGAATTGTTTTGTTATGTGTTGTGTGTGATGGGGTGGGGTGGATGTATTTCTATCCCGATTAAAATATTGGAGGCATATTTATTTACCTACTTTGGCGATTTTTCGGATTCAGCATATTAATAGTACGTTTTTATTGTTATTTGCAAACTATGAATTACAAAGGTCTAAAGGCTCACAGATACCATTTCATCACAGAACTCATTCCTGACGAAAATTATGCCTCAACCTTTTAATCTTGTACAAAATATCATAAGCTCTTCACGAACCCTTCATTTAATCCTTAAACACTTCATTCCTGAACACTTGACCCATGACACACTCTTTCTCTTGAACGCTTTGTTCTATAGACCACTCTTCATAAACACTTCACCCTTTAACATTTATTCTCAGGGCACTGATTTCTTGGGCAGTGTACTCCTTAAGCTCTAATGAAATTATACATAGAGCACGATCTCTTATGTACCTTTTAAACACTTCATGTCTGAATCCTACATCTTCCAATACTTTAAAAATACAAGCACTGACCACTTTCTATCAAATCGTTCATCACTGAACACTTAATTTCTGAACACTATTCTTGAAAATCACCTTAACACCCATAAAAGTTAAGTGTATTCCGTCAATTTCGTGCTTCATAATTTTATTCTTGGACAATTCATATCAGAGATCTCTAACAAGTTAGAGAGACTCTTGTTGTAGACGATAATTAAAGAGGTTCTTCAACAAAGATACCATCTAATTACTTTAGGTCATTGAGATTCAGACGCTAATTAGAATATTTAGTTGTATCCAATTAGGTACTTTCAAATCAAACATCTAATTAGGAGGAGGTGTTTCAGCATCTTAATATGTTTTTCAACTCTAATCAGTTAACACTCAGCAAAAAGTTTGTTCTAAGAATAAAAACATTTACAAAAAACGTTAGAAAACACAAATTGTCTAAGGGCTATGGTTTCCTAAGCATAAAAGGATCAAAATTTATACCGCTTTGCCAAATGAAGCAGTACTTAAAATAATACTGCTTGGTTTGAGCAAAGCTGGCATTTAGTGAGTCAGTACCTTACAGTTTTGTTAGAGGCTGGATTTTATTTTAATTCATATCCAGTTTTAAGATAAATTATCGTTCGATGAACCGAGTTTTACTAGTTTGTGGCTGGCTTAAGAAATACTATATGTTCAATTAAAGCCGGCTTTTCCTAGGCGCGTAGTCGGCGAGCGGAGAGAGGAACGCGGAGAGCGTACTCCACTTGTCTTAATTTAATGCAAATTTTAGGCAATTTAATGTTACTGTTTTCCTAGAAGCGGGGCGGAATGTCATGTTAATTTCAATTCCGCTCTCCGCGATCCTCTCTCCGCTCGCCGATTCCGCGCCAAGGAAAACCCAGCTTAAAAATAATCGATGCATATTCGAATGGACAATAAATACGTTTAAAAGCAGAACTCTTAAAAACTAACCAAGAAGTTTTGTAGATTAAATTAGAAAATTATAATACACTAGGAAAAGCAGATTCATCTGAAATTATTGAATCTTGTCTACTGATCAATAAAAATTAAATGCAATTTTATATTTTTCATTAGGCATGTAATAGTCATCATCACAAACAAAAATTGATATAAAATAATCACAGAATTTATATTAAAATATTGTCTGTGAATATGTTGATATTTGGTTATTATGTTATGCATAAAAAATATTAAGTTATTGATTATTGGAAAGCAATGACTATTGGATACTGAAGGTTTAGGACAATATGTGATTAAAACTCTAGAAAATTCCAATTGTAAATATGTTGTTAGATAATATGTATTCTTTAATAGCAAAATCCATGGTAAAATCAATCTTACAAACCATAAATCGATGTACAAAATCGGTGGTCTAAAATGTTTTTGTCAAGGCAGTAAATGTTCAAATGTCAATTTCAAATAAATCTCCATAGAGGATACAAAGATGGCTGGCGCTCTGCCTAGTGACCGGGATTCAAATCCTGCCATTCTCTTCCGCAATTTTATCGTTTGAATTATGTTCACAATTGTTCCAATTCTTGATGTAACTTGTTCGCGTTGATTTTATATGTACTTAAGAACCAGTGTTTTCTTTATTTGAGATTAAACCAATCTATATAATTAATACGCTACATGAAACTTTGACGGTTGAACTCCTCCGCCATTTCTTAACCGATTTTATCCATTGACGTCTCATTGGAAAGAGCGTGTCGCGTAGATTTGCAAACTGACCTTTTTGAAAAAGTCCCTTGGGCTCTGCCCCAGTGGCTGTTAAAGTTCTTAGTTGGACTTGAACCAATCATAAAAACCAGTAAATATATTACAATAGGACAAAACAGTATACAAATACAATGGTATTTACCACTCAATATACTTAATGCCGAGAGATTAAACTATATAAATAGAAAAAAATATGAAAGTATATGAATAAAAACTGTGAGAGAAATAGGAAAGATTATGGGTCACGAGATGAAGACTCTCTGTTACAAAAATATTAATTCCACAAAAAAGGTAAGAGGTAAACTAAAGATGAACACACTCAATAATAATTTATCAATGCTCCCACTCTATCAAAACACTGTATAGTACTATAGTCTGTATGATGGAACCTGTCTTCTGACCCTGTCTACTTGGGGCCAATGGTTTAATGCCCGGGACAGCCCCAGGAAGACCAGCCAGGAGACAGATTCCATCTACACACTATAGGAACAAATAATAGCTTATTCCCTATGAGCAATTCACTATTAAAACTACAGGCAATGCTGCCAACTCACCGGTATATAGTGGGTATGGGGAATATATCGTCTTCCTCGGTGGCATTGTTGCGGTTGTTGTTGGTATCACTGACGTTGACGTTCGAGTCCCCCGCCAGGGAGCAAAGCATTATTTGCGACATTAAGACACTTGCGGTGGGCCTACGGCCTAACTGGGCGTGTACTTAGGCCAGACATTGCTTGTTGGTCAATTGACGTAGGAACTGTGAGCTTGATCCCTTGATTTCCACGGAGTTAGTGGAGCATAGCACTCAAGGTACTGGGGAAAAGTTTACTTTTCAGCTTATGTTTTGCTGTTCAATTTAAAGGGTGCTGGAGTGAGAACATTAATGATTAATTTTTACTCATTGGAGTAAATTTGTAACCCTATTATATTTACCCTTTACTCTTAGCAGTATGGGATTGCCCCTGAATGCATTTTTCCTAGTATTCAGAGACACTCTTATATTTCTGTGGGATTAATTGTGTCTGCTGAAATATCACTGTAGGCCTATCACAATTTACTTGTGGTCTAAAATTGGAGGAAAATACTGAGATAATCTAAACATATCATTTACGAGGGATGCAAAGACATTGGGTTTAGTAATTTTGGTTAACATTAGGTAGAAAATTAGGTATAAGTTGAGTTTTGCAAATCGGGATCGATCAGAAAGTAAAGGAAAGGTCAGAATCATCCAGATCAGGGCGTTGATAACAGTTGAAACATTAAAATTAGCTTACTGATTAGGAATGTCAGGGACACTAGGATAAGTACCTAAAAGTGAACAACTGTTTAAACATTACAGTTAGAAAACTAGGCTACACTTTACTTTAGGTCATACACTCATTCGAATGAAAATATCGATCGATATATCGACTATTCGATAAGTTATATAGTTTGGTTAGTTAGGTAAGGTTAACCTAACCTAACTAACCAAACGATATATCGAATGAAACAATCGAAAAATCGATATTTTCATTCGAATGAGTGTAGGACCTAAAGTTAAGTGCAGCCAAAAACTATATTTGAACAATTTGGTCTGATGATTAATAAAGTATCATTAATCATCTTTAAGAACTGATCGGATAAGTAATCAATATTTAATTAATTATGATTTGAATATTGATTTGAGAAACAATAGTTAGAGGATTCGGGTCAGAGGATTACTGATGGCAAAAGCATCTTAATAAGTGAAGATAGTTTGAACATTAGGGGCAAAACTGGCAAAAGATTAATGATAGTTTATTCATTATCATTAGCAAAGATAATTTAAACATTAAGGTCAAAAGATTAATGATAGTGTATACATCGTAATAAGTAAAGATAGTTTGAGCATTAGGGTAAAAATATTAATGAGTGTATTCATTGTGATTAGCAAAGATAATTTAAACATTAAGGTCAAAAGATTAATGATAGTTTATACATCGTAATAAGTAAAGATAGTTTGAGCATTAGGGTAAAAATATTAATGATAGTGTATTCATTGTGATTAGCAAAGATAATTTGAACAGTAGGGTCAAAAATAATGCTAGCAACCCTAGCATTGTGAACACATTAGTAAAAATAGTTTGGACATAGGGTTCAAATATTAATGATAGGTTTTACATTGTTATTAGCAATGCATTTCGAATATCGGGGACAAAAGATTAATGATGTTATTGACGTTCAGGTTAGCAATGACAGTTTGAAAAATAAGACATATTAACGACAGTTTGACCATTGGGATCAGCAATAGTTTAAAAGTATGGGTGAAGGAATTATATATTTTAAACATTTGTTACAGCAAGTAAGGGGTAGATTAACTATTGATTTTAGTAGGTCAAGTGTTAAAAATCACTAGGTTAATAGGTCGGTGATTAAGAAATACGCCAGTCTGAATGGATGTTAGTTTAGGCAAGGGGATCAGTAAGGATAGTTTGAACATTAAACAGAGGATTAATGGTAAGCATTGGGTTGGATAAGAGATAGTTTGAACATTGAGGTCAGTAGGTCAACCGATAGATTAGTAAGTTGCAGATCGTTTTAATATATATTATCTACTCTTCTCTGAGGAAATGGTGTCGTTATAGCATAAGAATTATTAAAGAAGCTTGATACTAGTTCCAAACACTTATGTCAGCAATTATGATGCTTCAAACTGGAGAATCACATGAATAATTGCTATAAATCATAAAGATTCATACACAATTAGTTCTGTATGGGTAATTGAGTTGAACAATAAGTTAAGTTGGATTAATATTGATTTACAAATATGCATTTAGCCTAATTATTGTTTTTGAGGTTAAGATAGTTATTTATATTAATCACTAGGTTGCACGTGGTTTAAATGACGAATATGGGAATTAAGGCATATCAAAAAGGGGTTAGGAAGTTAACGATTATTCAAACACGAGTGAGTAGGTTAAAGATACCGCAATGGTGAGGTTAGGTCAGGCTGACGGTCTGTATTGATTTTGCAATAAGCGGAACCTCATATTTATTCATTTAAGCGGTCGTTTTATCTCGCCTTTTGCATGAAACCCTTTGCTTTAATCTGGCTTTTATTGAAAAATATGTACTTAACACTTTATGTTAAAAAGGAATAATAAGTAGCTTTGTTCCTTATTGTATGTCAAAGAGGTTACTGCTTTTAGTTTTATGGTAACGTTTGGTAAACAAAAGAGATATATTTAGTAATGTAAATTGAAAATAGGTTAGATAGGTCTCAATAAAAAAATCTATTGAGAAAACTAAGTTATTGTGCTGGATTTATGTTCCTGAATTTTTAGATGTAAGTGTTATTTAACATCTTCAACATTTATGTTTTTGCTCATCAATATAAAAACCAATAATGAACCAGTTTGTAACCAAACAAACAAAATCAAGGCAACCTAATCTCACTCCAGACAAAGAACAGTACAACAAAAGCTCCAACTCGATCTAATCCTATCGACAATCACCTAGGTGTTATGCTACACGTTGTGGGATACGTAAAGAATACACGGTCCTTCGGTTACACTTAACGACGAAAGGTGGAAGAACAAAAAAGACGAACAGATGGGAAAGAAACACCGATCACCGACCGCACTGTGAGAGATGGCGAGCGGGACTGGGCTGGTTGCAGACGACGCGTAGTGCCGGGCCATGCCGCGAGGTGTCGCGTCGAGCGCGTGCGCAACTACCGGCTGATTACTCTGTGTCGCGCCCGTATGATTAATGGCAGGTGCATGGAGTAAGAAGGCGTGCTTGACCTTGGAGTGTATATGTATGAAAATGCATTTTCAATTGTTACTATCAGATTGCCGAACGGAAATGGATATTGTGGATTATTACTTTGGATGATATATAAAGCAGTGCATATATTTGATGAAGATGGAGATCAAGCTTTAAAAACTCAAAAGTATTTAGCATTCAGTATTTAGAAACAAAATACTGATTACACGAAAGGCAAATACTCATTATTCATATTAATATGCTCTTGTTTTTTAAACACATTTAAGGGAACAAAATCATTTGTAGCCATTTATTACTACTTCTTCATAATACAAAGATGCTTAAATTATCAACTATTTCAAAACCCTTTTAGCCTTAAAAGTTGGTTATTAAGAGTTCTGAATGATACAACCTGTCACCTGTCTCTCTGTATATCTGGGACAGGATAATGGCTAAGGATCGGGGGAGTCCAAGATAGGCAAGGGCCAGGAATTAGATTCAATCATACCATATTATCAACATTATATTTCTTCTCCTAGTTTTGAATATTTTAATAATTTTTAAATGGCATAAAAGATGCAATACACTTTAATAAGTCATCTATTAATTTGGTCTAGTTTAAAAATAGGTGTGTACAAAAGAAATCAGTAATAATCAACAATGAATTTCAAGGGTCAAATTAAATTAATTATTTTTCATTCTTAAGCTAGTTTTAGTGATATAACATGTAAAGGACGTGTTTACTTCAATACATTTAAAAATATCAGCATGGATAATACGTTAAAAGTGTATGTAAAAATTTTAAAGATCCAAAATATATGCATGAACACACGCAAATGGTAAATTTTCAACATACATCAATCGAAAGTCACAGGATAATCCAGGATGAACGTGGTCTTCAATTATAAACGTGTAACATTGTAACGTATGTTGTGGAAGGAAAAGTTGCAATATAACGTAATATGTACAACGTCAGTTTAGTCCCATGAGGTGACGAGATTATAGAATGTCTTAATAAACCAGGCGTCTTACATAGACACTGTAAACCCCTTGTGGAACGAGATAGTTAAAACATGTTAACATTCATTTGAACTGAGACATTAATTTAAATTAATAAGTTTCTATTGATAGAAAGAAACTTAATGTCTTGACCACCATAAAGAAAAAAACATGACAGTTTAACATATGTTTAAAATAAGGAAGAAAGCTTCTTTTCTATGCTGACATTAGTAAAATATTTTCTTAACGTAGAATGGGGTTTGGTTTTAGAGTTAAATATTTGTAACACACCGTTTGAAGGAAATATTTATGTAGATGTCATAAAGATATTTTTATAAATGCAAAATTAAGATATCAGGTGTGAATTTTTCCAGGATTAATTTTATGTTTACAATCTTAATTTAATACTCTTGGCATTATATTATTTGGTTTACAACAATACAGTGGTCAAAATATATGCATGCTATATTACCAATAGTATGCTGTTCGTTGCTATGTGAAATTTAACTTTAAGGTGGAATTAAAAAAAACACTAACAAAATTATTGATTAAAATCTAATTATACTCAAAATCAAAGGTTTATAATCGCATTTTAAAGTAACAAATGAACTTTACTACCAACAAAGAATATTAGAACAGGAACGGTATGGATCTTAAACATATACAACGTCACTGACCCCAAACTAAACATGTTTCATTGATATTTGAAGAAATTGTCAAAAAACGTACAAACCAGCTGTAATAGCTATTAGAATAGACAATCAGGCTAGTGACATCATTTATTTATGTTTATGACCCATACAGTTTCTGTTCTAATATCCGTGTTAATAACCATTCACTAATATTTTTAACCCAATACATATTCAAAGAACATCTGGAATAATGCACGGTTTTAACTACAATCTTTTTTTACTTAGAACTCGGAAATCAAGTGTAACTTTCATCTTGATTTCTCAAGTGGAGGGATAAACTGTAGAGAATTACTGGTGAGCCCCCCCCCCCCTCTGAGGGCGCGTGACCTGACTCGTGACTAAAATACCTGCAGTCTGTTAAAAGGGGGGGGGTCGTGACTGGAGTGTATATGTCAATGTTTAGTGCAACTGTTTGAGACCCCATTGTTGTGATGATATTATCAAGGGATGGGGGAGGACATAATAACGTTAAAGATACAATATAAATAACAATTATAACGGAAATGGTAACATTGGTGAATGTCGAGCTTAAAATTGTGTTCGAAGAAAGATATTGTAAACAATAAATCGTTATAGTAATTCTTTACTTTTTTACAATATTAATGTTGATAAGGGTGTTGAATGAATTAAATTACAGATTTGTTCCTGATTCTTCATCCAGGACACGATGTTTAAGGATTCTAGACCTAGTCGGATCCAGTTCCGAACCATAAGCTACTAACTTTTCAAAATCTAACTGGTGGTCTTCAGGCTACTTCTGATTCCTCGGTTACCCAGTGAAATAGAGTAAATGACCATAAATGGTTTTTGATTGGTGATCGCAGCTTGAAAAATTAGTTGTTTAACAACATGTCGTGGTTTGACGGTCGTGCATTAATTGTGCAAAGAGTTCCTTAATTGCGCCAAGCCCAGGTAGCGGTAAGTTGCTGGCAGAAGGAATGTCCTTGCTTAAGTGCCTAACCATAACCTAACCCAACTTAACCTAACCCACTCAATTATACAGCCAAAGAGGTCCGCCACTTGGTGCAGTCAATGAACGTATCGGGTGGCCCCTTGAGTAGTTGGCGCAATTCAGGAATACCCGACTACCTGACTCAGGTCAGTTGGCACAATTAATGCCTGTCCGTTTCAACTAGCTTAGGTTTTGTAAAATTCTTATATAATATTAACATTATCTTGAAACATGAGTTATCTTTAAACAATATATGTATAATCATTGCTGTTTATTGTTTAAAGTCCACTATAAATTTTCTAGATCTTAAAACCCATTAAAACGTGCGGCTGGTTAATTTACAGCTTTATTTTCACAGCATACAGAACAAAGAGAGAATGAGATTCTAAATCCAAATAATACTCTGGGTTTGAATTAGGCAGACAAATAGAGAATATTGGAGAGAAAGAGGCAATTGGAAAACACCTCATTAAGGAGAGCTAGTGGATATGAGAGCTTCGCCGAGAGCCGCGTTGGATTCGGCTTTGAAGTGTCTGTCAATAACAAAGCCAGCTGTTCCACAATTACTGCTCTTGCTCTACTTGCTTTACACTCGCCTTGCACTTAGCACTTTACAACATCCACTTGCCTTATGATTGCTTTGCAGCAACCACTTGCTCTATGATTGCTTTACAACGTCCACTTGCTCTAAGATTGTTTTGCAACATCTACTTGCTCTATGATTGCTTTACAACAACCACTTGCTCTATGATTGCTTTACAACATTCCCTTGCTCTATACGGCAAACACTTGCTCTATGATTGCTTTACAACAACCACTTGCTCTATGATTGCTTTACACTCGCCTTGCACTTAGCACTTTACAACATCCACTTGATCTATGATTGCTTTACAACATCCACTTGCTCTATGTTTGCTTTACAACCACCAGTTTCTTTGTGATTGCTTTACAACAACCACATTCTCTATGATTCCTTTACAACATTCACTTTATCTATGATTGCTTTACAACAACCAGTTTCTTTATGATTGTTTTACAACGTCCAATTGCCCTATGATTGCTTTACAACATCCACTTGCTCTATGATTGCTTTACAACATCCACTTGCTCTATGATTGCTTTACAACATCCACTTGCTCTATGATTGCTTTACAACATCCACTTGTTCTATGATTGTTTTGCAACATCTACTTGTTCTATGATTGCTTTACAACATTTACTTGCTCTGTGATTGCTTTACAACAGCCACTTGCTCTATGTAAGCTTTACAACATCCACTTGTTCTATGATTGTTTTGCAACATCCACTTGTTCTATGATTGCTTTACAACATCTACTTGCTCTGTGATTGCTTTACAACAGCCACTTGCTCTATGTAAGCTTTACAACATTCACTTGTTCTATGATTGTTTTGCAACATCCAATTGCTCTATGATTGCTTTACAACACCCATTTGCTCTATGATCGCTTTACAACATCAACTTCCTGTAGAGTTTCAAGTTTTATTTTTAATCTTTACCCTTATAGGAATTGGGCAGTTTTCACTGAAAACTTTAAACAATTAAATTATTAATGGATATGCTATCTGGATGAACATGTTGAACTAAATTTCTTGTCCGAACAAAAGACAACTTAACTGGTTACTGGTTACTATGTCGGTGGTCTTGCATAGTTAGGAGGGAACTAAGTTATAATGTTTTACATTTCTGTGGCTAGGAGTTAGTGGAGAAGTATGCCTATTGTTTGGGAACATTCAATACAGCATGCCTTGGTTTAAGCATTATAACAAGAACTATTGCTATACTATCTCGTAGGTCCTTGCTAATTTAAAATACAATATAAAATCTACGTTATTTTGTTAAAATCATAAACAGTCTAATAAATGTATCATAACAATAAATCTGGTTGGCGTTAACAGTGTGTAAAACGGACGTAAAAAATAATTTAGCTGTAAATTAAGAAAAATAATTGAACTTATGAGTAGGGAAAATAGTATTTTTCAATGTTCGTATCCCTAAGGTCATAGTGGTGTGTTTTAATTAATTATTTAGCATTCCATGATTCAAAACAAATCTGTAGTTTTTTAAACATCCTTATCGTTAAATTGAAAAAAAATTGGCCGACATAATAATTTGCTAACATAACATTAATATAAGGTGTACAAGCTATGAAGTGTATTTTAATTTTAAATTTCTCATTAGCATGATTTAAAACGACAAATAAACATAGCTTCTTTAAT